AATTCATTCAGCAATCTTACCATCACTGCTAGAGAACTAAAATCTTCCTAATATAAAATATTTGGAATATCCTCATCCTATTCCCACCTTTGTCACACCTGTAGTACAAACAACCCCTCACCAGTGCTTAGGAAGCAGTGACTGAGTCTCCACCCTGGCTGAACATCCATTCCCTGCATGTCCATCCACAGATGGAAGTAAAACCAAGGGTCACTAACCCTGTTCAGCTGATGGACAGAGGAGAGGCAATGACATTTACTTTTTAAGCTAATTGATCCACTGACTCATTCACTCCATTTCAGTCATTAAAAATGAAGCTTTAAGGCTCAAAATTTTCCTTTTTTTTCTCAATTCTGTCAAATAAGAGGTCTGAAAAGAGGCTGTTGCTGTTCCTTATGCCCTTGCCACATTTCTAACTTTAACACAGAAGCCCTTATAAGTGTACCCACAATTACAGAACTATTACACCTCCCACTCCTGGGGAGTCAGACAAATGTCACAGTGGCTCTCAAACATCTTCACCTTGCCTGGATCCTGCAAATCACAAAGGTGCCTGACAAGAGGACAGAATCATTAATTTAGCCCTGAACATCTCAGAAGTATCTCCCTGTACAATTCAGCTATAGAAAGGCTTTTGATTGCTGCTGTGCATGCTTTATGGCTGAGGAATTTAATTCAAGGAGAATGATTAGGAAGAGGACAATTTTTAGCAGTCTGCTCCAAAGCATAGACAAAAAAATTAGCAACAGAGTCAAAACGTGTTGAACTTGTATTGAAAGTGATAATTTTTGCAGCATGCTGATATTCACTGACTCACAGCCCTCTGGAGGTGCTAAATGCAGCTAGAAAACAAAGTCAAGAGGTCTCAAGTTCCAGTTGTTGGGAGGAAGATGTCAAGACTCAGAGGCAGCAGGCAGGCAGCTGAGAAGAGGGAAGACTTCAAGGCACTAATCTATGTGCCACAAGTGAGAGTCTTCATCACCTCCTGAGCTGTGTGTTCAGCTGAGCACTCTGAGATGGGAACAGCCTTCCCGAGAAACCCACAGGCATTTATTTTGTGCTGGTGCTGAGGGAGAGAAATGAGATTCTTCCTGCCTGCACATCATCATTCTGGTGTCCTCAGCATAAGAAGGACATGGAACTGTTGGAGCAAGTCCAGAGGAGGCCACAAAGTTGATCAGAGGATTGGAACATCTCCCCTATGAGGACAGGCTGAGGGAGTTGGGGCTGTTCAGCCTGGAGAAGAGAAAACTGTGTGGAGACCTCTGAGCACCTTTTCAATATCTGAAGGGGCTACAAGGAGCCAGAGAGGGACTCTGTGTTAGGAACTGCAGTGATAGGACAAGGGGCAATGGGTTCAGACTTAAAGAGGGAAAGTCTAGGTTGGAGGTGAGGAAAAAGTTTTTCCTGTTCTGGTGGTGAGACACTGTCCCAGGTTGCCCAGGGAGGCTGTGGCTGCCCCAACCCTGGCAGTGTTCAAGGCCAGGCTGGATGAGCCTTGAGCAACCTGATCTAGTGAGGAGGTGTCCCTGCCCAGGGCAGGGGTTGGGGCTGGATGATCTGTAAGGTCCATTCCAACCCCTAAATTCTATGAAATGCCCAAAGTCCACTGACAGTTCCTGGAATCATGTCATAGGCGGTAAAAAATTGAAACCAAATGCATGCTGCAGGACTGAAAGGTAGGTTTACACTAAAAACCTAATCTGATCACCTACCTGTTAATTTTTCAGGAGCTCCTGATATTCCCCAAAACCTCTGAAGGGAAGGGTAGTTTTAGCAGTAGTACAAATTCACAGAAGTCCTCAGGAGGCTTCACTCGGTCCCTGCGTAGGGATTCAAACCTGGCTTGTTCTCCTGCTGTATTTTCTGTTTCACCCTAGGACTTCTCACACCTGCAGCCTTTACCTTTCCTTACAACTCATGCCAAAATACAAACCAACATTCCCAGACTCTTGTAGGTCTTCAGGGACAAGGCTGTAATTTTACATCAGGACTATGCCCTGATTCACACTGAACACATACATAATGACCTTCCTTTACCTGGTTTGAACCATGAGGGCTCTTCACAAAGGTCCTCACACAGCTGGGAAACATCAAGCCACATTCTGACATCACCATTCCATTAAGAGCCCTTCTCTGCAGCAGTCTGGGATCAGATTTGAAGAGAGCAAATCCTGTCCTCAGTGTGACCAGAGTTATAAGAAACAGAGCCCTGCAGTTCCCAGTAGCAACAGGGAGCTGAATCTCAAAGAAGACAGACAGTAAAATATTTCAAATTCATAATTATGTGCCAAGAACTGGAAAGACATTTCCTTCATAAAAAGCTGCTCAGGGTATTTAAGTGGCAAATCAAATTAAACCAAGTTTATTTCTAATAATCAGTGAATTCTGCAACTCCCACTGCCCCAGGAACGTCAGCCTTTCTGCAATTACTGTCTTCCTGCTGGAGGCAACTTTCAGAAACTTTTAGATTGCACTTTGCTTCCTCATCTGTCATTTAAATTCTTCCTAGATCTTGATATTGCTTTTAGTAGTCTGGATATTGAAGCTTAAATAGAAGATTCTCAGTGTACCAAAACCTATCAAATAACTCTGCTTCTCTCCAAAGAGTTCTCCTACCAGGGATAGGGTGCAATTTGCCAACAAATTATAGGTGACAGGTTTAGTCATCATATTGATCAGATTACTGAAGCTTAAGGACTCCAAAAGACAAATACCACGTTGATTTTGTTTCTGAATGTCAGTCAGTTCCTATAGGAGAGATGCGTTTTGCGCACGAGCTACTATGATACACAGGTTCTTCAAAAGATGAAAATCCAAGAGATTAGCTGAGATTTCTCCCATGATCCGAGATGGTCTTATTGAGCAGGATTTTATAGAGGGCAGCTCTAAAAGAGCCACTCAAAGCCTGCATGGAGTAACCAGCACACACTCTGACAGGTGGCACAGCAGTTTTGATGCCAGAGCTGCAGAGCAGTGATAGGACTTACAGTGAGAATTTTGGAATGTAGGACTTCAGATCCCAACCTATATTCACTCAAGTCCATCCATATTCAGATTCCACTGCTATAAGCTATTATTGTGGAAAAGACACATTTGAATCTCAAAGTAATACAAGGAATGATGTTTTATCCCAGTAAAACCCTTGTTGATGATCTTGGTCTGCCTTCACACAGACTTAAAACTTGGATGCAATGCAGGTTCCTTGGAATTAACAGGCTTTGAGACAAAGATTTCCATATGGAACTCAACTGACTTTATTATTTCCTTGCATCCAGCCACTTTAACAACTCTTCTTTGCTAGCAGAGACAAGGAAGCCTGGAAATGAAATTCCAGAGGACTAATCTTACTGATGTGCCAAATGAGACATCCACAAGTCCAGGTGTCCTGTCATCATTCCTCTATTGATCTTCAGGGTAATCCCCCCAACACTATTATTTCCATTAAAGGGTAGATTAAAAAGTTGAAAATTAAAGACAAAAATCAAAGCCCATTCCCAGATTTTCTGAGTGTTTCACAGAAATTATACATCCTAGTAACAAATCAACATCTTTGCTGCAGAACTTGATGGTAAAAAAAAAGTTAGGTTTTCCTATCACTTATTTATCGATGCTCTGACCCACAAAAATCTTTGCAATAAGAAACCAATGTAGTTGGCAAGATTACACGTGTTTGTTACTTCATCTGTACTGCAATGCAACCACCCTCTCTTCTCTGAAGTCCCTGGAATTTATTATTCAAGGAACTCCAATGGTCCTAGTTAACGTTTAAAAAAAAAAGTCTTCATACTAAACTGAAAAAGGGAAGCCCAAAAATAGCTATTGAGAGACCTCTTGAAACAGATAAACCATTGGTTTTGACAAGATAAAACAGTACTTGACAATGGAAGATTTGCAGTTGTGTCAACAATAACAAAAAACCCTAAGCTTTCATCCTGGTCTTAAGGGCACATTTAGGCCAATAAATGGGTATTTTCTAGGTGGTTTACAATCAAGCTCCAGTTTGAGACTGCATCAGTTTGAAGTGTAGGTGGACACCAGTTTCCCACACGGTTCACTGGTCCATGTGGTTTTGTGATCCAGCTCTCCAAGCAGTGAGCCAGACTTTGCAGGATGGAGCCTAAGGAGGCCAGAACTGGCACATGGCAAATCCCAACAAAACTAGCTTTTTTCTCAGCTGTTCCCCTCCCAGCCCCACTGCCCTGCCTGGGCACTGGGTAATGATGAGTGCTCAAATGAATCCAGAGGATTGATGACCTTTGCCCAACTCTTCTTTTTCATTTTGACTTAATGCACAGGTTTAGCCATCTCCAGAAAGAGCTCTTAATAACCCTAACACTGAGCTTCCAACCAGGAGACTGATCATTTTCACTGAGATCCAAAGCAAACATGTTGAATTTGGAATGCTGCATTCTGATCAAAGGCATCTGGTGCCATGACATTCCATGCACAAAGAACTTCTAATCCAAAAGCAATAGGCTTTCTGGCCAGAGGATTGCATTGCTGCCTTTGTATTAACTTGTCTCTGTTTGTAGCAAAAAATAACAGCAGTGATTCAATAAAAAATAGTTCAAGTAAGTCCCAGTTGCCAAACCCCAGGTGCATTGCTCACTAATGCCCATGCTGAGGAGAGTACCTTCCTTTTAATGGCACCTGTGTTCAAAAGACTAACACTCACCTTGCTCAATCAGCTTAGGTCAAACTTTCTACAACACATTAGTAACTGAAGAGACGAAAGAATTACACAGGTAACAGGAGCGAGGGGAGCGTATCAAGGCACGGCCCCACTCAAGAACTCTTCTTTGAAGCCTGTCCCTCTGGCCATGAAGACAAACCATTTTCAGAATGCACCGAATTTAAGATGGTCCTTAAGGCACCATTTGCAATGTTTGTGGCAAAGGGCATGAGAAAACCAAGTGGTTTTATTCCTACAGCTGGGAAATTCTCTTTGCATGTGAGGTTAGAAGAGATGTTATTAACCTTTATCCTCTCCCTTGCAGGGCTTCTCTCATTCCATTTGACCTCGTGTTCCATCCTCAGAGGAATTACATCAAGACTGGATCCCCAATGCCATGGTCTGGGTTGCAGGTGAAGGAGATGGTGATGGCATAGCGAGTGCCCCAGTGAACCTTTTCCACCCGATGAAGGTTCTCTGATCCAGAGGTGAAAAAGGAAACACGGCCTGGAATGACAAAGTTTTTCATCAGTGACATGGACTCTGCCACTCAGCTATCAGCTCTCTCTACAGTTTTGCTGTTGTCTCAGTCCAGCTGTTCCCCAGCAACCTGAGAGCCCAGAGGTCATCACACAGACAAACTGTTATGAGCTTATGCTGCACTCAACAGCTTTATGTACTGTTAACATCCATTAATCCTTCGTGCTATGAAGACATAATTCCACTGCATCTCACAGTTTATAAAAGGCAGGAGGAAGCCAAGAACATCAAAGCCATTGCTTAGTTGCCTCAATTAAAACAAAAAAGCGCAACTTTAGTGACTGTCAAAGTGTATTGTTTCCTCCCTGTTCTCCTTCTAGCCTGGGCTCTCATTTTAGACCAAAAAAGGAGGAAGTACTACAAAGGTGGCAAAAAGGTTTCAATGACAAAATGCTCAGCAGGTTTACAAGCAGCTGTGGCAGTTATCAGCATTGTACCAAGTGTTTGCTATCGCTTTTTGTGCCCACCCTGACCACTCTCTGTTCAGTCAGGTTACAAAGTCATGTATCAGTCATATACAAGTTCAAAGAGCCAATCCATCGATGCATTGGCTTGGGAATGGTTTATTTTTCTTAGAAAGAGCCAATCAATCGATGCATTGGCTTGGGAATGGTTTATAGATGCAAGAGCTTAGTGCTGTACTTCATCCTGTCCAAGCTTTGACCACCACCTGCCTCAGGGCTCTCCAGGCCTTAAGTGGTATCCAGGTGAAGTGGAGTGACTTTGGTGATGACAGCAGAGGTACATTAGCATCCCACTGGATGAGACAGCACAATGGAGCCCTCTGCTCTTTCACATTATTAAACTGCTCCGAGAATCTACAAGTTTGATGTCTAGCAAGTAACTCCAAACTGACACAACTCTTCAGGACTGCTTGAGTTCTCCTGAGGAGGCCAGAAATACTCACCTGCACAGCTGCTTGTGGTTTTCCTCCTCAGGCTTTTTCCACTGTTCAAATTAAAGTTGGTTTCAAAGCTTAGCATAGGGAACTCCTTTTGACAATCTAACTCTGTCTGGGACTCACTCAGGCAAAATGAAACACTTAGATGCCTCTTGTCTGCACAAGAAGATAAGCTATTCCAACCATTACACCACCTCCACTGCAGAAATGGGTGCCAGGCATGTAGCTGGTTCTGTCTTCTAAAAGTGATCCAAAAGATCCAGAAGTTGCTTGCATACTCTTGAGCAGCACACATAGGAGATATGGACAAATCTAGCCTTGCTTATGGAGCTCAGTTCACTCACTAATCTCTAAGTCTATTTGAGCAGCCTCCAAGTCTCTTGTATGTTCAGTTGCAGCTCACACCTAATCTTCATGCAGTTCACAGAGTCTTTCATAACTGCCAAGCAGAAGTCATATCATACTCTTCTGTGCCTGTGGCTGCACATCAATAATGGGTAAAGCTATACATATGTAAAGAACAGATCCATTCGTATGCACAGCTCATTTCCACCTTGGTGTCCTGCTTTTCTGGATGAAAGGCTAAATGAAGGCAACATGCTCCTGTCCTCTGTGTTGCAATGAACACCACTGCCCTCGAGGACTTCATACAAAGTCCCTGTGTCATGAATTATTTTTCCTTTTGAACCTTATTTCAACATCATTAAAGTCCTTTGTTATCAGTCCCTCACCTACTCACCCAGAGCTTTGTCTTAAACTGATTTTCAAGCTTTTCTGTTTGATCTCTAACTAGCAGTAGTAATTCAGAGCTAGACAAGTTTCGGTGTATTGTTTAAGCCAGTTAAACTGGATTTTTTGGCTATACAGAATGTCTTTTAAGTTTTCTTTAATAAATATGTCTTCATATATATGGTATCTTACATCTCTTTGTGCATCTGGTCCCACATCTGTCAACCAGGGTGTCCAAGTCACTGAACAATGCCTCAGTCAGTTTTCAAAGATGATTTTTCCTCACCTGGGAAAAATTTGTTTTCAACTTCCCTTGGAAAACTTTTGAAGCAAAAGTACACTCTCAACATGGTCCAGAGAAGAGCAACAAGGCTGGTGAAGGGACTGTGAGGAGAGGCTGAGGGAGCTGGGGGTGTTCAGCCTGGAGAAGAGGAGGCTCAGGGGAGACCTTCTCACCCTCTGCAACTCCCTGACAGGAGGTTGGAGTCAGGTGGGGGTTGGTCTCTTCTCCCAGGCAACCAGCAGCAGGACAAGAGGGCACAGACTCAAGCTCTGCCAGGGGAGGGTTAGGTTGGATACTAGGAAGAGATTTTTTTAACAGAGAGAGTGCTCAGGCATTGGAATGTGCTGCCCAGGGAGGTGGTGGATTCACCATCCTTGGAGGTTTTCAAGCTGAGACTGGATGTGGCACTTAGTGCCATGGGCTAGTGACCACGGTAGGGTTGGACTGGATGATCTCTGAGGTCTCTTCCAACCCGGTTGATTCTATGACTCTATGATTCTATTACTTTTAATAGTATAAATGTTAAAAAAGAGGGTAAAGAATGTTAATTCCCATCCCATCTGACAAGACCTTCAAGGGATATATGGCAATATCCTTATCCAGAGACTTGTGGGGGAAAGACACAAGATAAAATAGAGCTGTGGCACTGCCAGACAGGATGACTTCTAGGACTTTCAAGCACACCAAGACTACGTCCTTCATAATCTTGCTGCGATACACAGTATATGGAAACCACCTTAAAAATCAAACACTACAAGAGAACAAGCAGGTAACCTCAACACAAGATTTAAAATACTGAAGAGTAAGCAAAGGATAAATTGTGCTGGGGATGAAACTGTTGCAGAAAACTCAAGTGCAAACTCACTGGATGTGCCACCCTCTGACAGTGATCTAGGGCAGGGAATGGCTCACAAGCTCAGCACCACAGTGTCCATCAAAACTGAGCCTGGGCTCTGGTGTCATTGACACAAGTCAAGCTCTTAAAGGCTGTCAGGCTGAGAAAAGCTTGTGATGTGGAAAGCAGGAAAAGTCTTGCTCCTCTTACAAGAAGCAAGACCTGAGAGGAAACAACTTACTCTCCTGGCTTTTTGAGAATCCATTTTTGCACTGATCTACAGGAATTATTACTTATGGAGACATGCAAGTGCCAGTCACAGGCTCCACTGCCATGAATTGTATGTGAACCTAATTTAAATGAAGAAACACTGTTATTTTCAGGATTAATATTTACCAAGCAGCAAAAGCAACAGTTATTTCACTATGCAGCAATTATGTACCATTTAATTACTCAAACAAAACCATTAGAGGAATATATGTATTAAATATGAGCTTTTGCTTTTCCCTGGGTTTGCTTTCCCGGGTTTAATTTCCCTTAGCAATGAATTCTTTAGATGTGCTCAGAAAATATAACCACCACAAGAAGCAGCAGACAGGTGGGAAATAATTATGCCTCCAGCTATATACCACAGGAAAAAGTCAGTATTCCCATTAGGTTTGCTCCCAGATTTCAGGTGTGTTGAATTTTAACATTCAGTTGCACTTCCATAAACAAGCTGCCTTCACTTTGCTACCTAACCTCTGTCCTGAGGGGCAATACAGACTGGAGGAAGATACAAAGGAAACCATTTTCGGTGACATCCACGTCCTTAATATCTAACTGTGACCTCAAAAAAACCACTTACTCTGTCATTTGTTTCCTTGTCTCCAAAATGAAGGTAGTGCTGACCTGTTCTAACAAGATGGAAATTAATTAGCAAGCAGCATTACAACACTTGGCAGTTAGCACAAGTTCTGAGTTAGTGTTATAAAAAAAAAGTATTTTCTGTTGTTCTTATTCTGGCTAGAGGAAAACTAAAGCACGCCAGATTAAATTGTAGCAAGATGTAGGAAATAGATTAAAGGGCTTTGAGAACCAAACAAATAATAACATATCACAATGCTCCTAAGGAAAAATACCATGAGATTTTTATGCCTCCAGTATTATACATTCGTTGCACACCTTAGGTTGGAAGAGACCATAGGAGGTTACCTGGTACAATTCCCTGTCTCAAATCAAGGCCAATTTCTAAATTACAACCAACTCCTGAGCCCCTTCAGGTTGCTCTGGGCCATATTATCAGCACATACAAGTGCAGCATTCAGATATTTCCCAGGGATGTCTCAGACACATGTATTTTGCTATCCTCCCTCGTATGCTTGATTTTTGAGCAGGGAGCATGGAGCAGATGATCTCCAGAGGTCTTTTCCACTCTCAGTTATTCTGATTACACATGGAACAGGCCATCACATCTCTATCAGCTGTGGCTGTTACTTATATTTGCAGTTTGCCTTTTTTGCCACTGGATTAATCACAGAATCAACCAGGTTGGAAAAGACCTCCAAGATCATGGAGTCCAACCCTACTGTGGTTATTACACCATGGCACTGAGTGCCACATCCAGTCTCAGCTTGAAAACCTCCAGGGATGCCCACCTCCCTGGGCAGCACATTCCAATGCCTGAGCACTCTCTCCGTAAAAAAATCTCTTCCTGATATCCAACCTAACCCTCCCCTGGCAGAGCTTGAGTCTGTGCCCTCTTGTCCTGCTGCTGGTTGCCTGGGAGAAGAGACCAACCCCCACCTGACTCCAACCTCCTGTCAGAGAGTTGCAGAGGGTGATAAGGTCTCCCCTGAGCCTCCTCTTCTCCAGGCTGAACACCCCCAGCTCCCTCAGCCTCTCCTCATGGCACTTGTGCTCCAGTCCCTTCACCAGTCTCGTTGCTCTTCTCTGGACCTGCTCCAGCCCCTCAATGTCCCTCCTGAACTGAGGGGGCCCAGAACTGAGCACAGATTCCTTCATGCTCCTGTCCTTCACATGGTGTTACCCCTTCTGCTTTCTTGGCAGGATCCTTCTGGCCCTTCCAGTTTAATTCCCTGCCAAATTCCCTTGTAAACTCCTTGGGTCATGAGAACTTCAAGGAGAAATTTCAAATTATGTGTTAGATTGTCTTGACCAACACTCAGTCAAGGAAAGGAATAACTGTCCCCTCACTCTCCTCCTTGGTCTGCTGGACACCAGGGAAGGACAGGAGCCATCCCTGCCTGGTGATAGTGCCAGGGAAGAGATGTAAAGCAGGGCTGGGGGTATTGTAAGGGGCCTCACCTCCATCCACTGTCCACAGCAGCTGGTTGGAGGCCCTGGAAAGAC